CTCGAACTTTTTGCTCGTCTTGAAGCTGCCGTTCTAGGCTGTCCTTCACCTCTCTTTCACGAAGAACGTCCATCTTCAACTCGGCTGTTATTGGGAAAAAAGAAAAAAAAGAGGAATGAAAAGTTAGTGTAAATTTTTACAATGCCATCGGTAAATAATATCTAATATCTATGGACAGTTTGACGTAGCCCCATGTAATATATTCTATAAATTTTGAATAATCGATGTGGATTACACAGGTATACTGGTTAGAATTAATTAGTCCCGAAAATGATGAATTTGAAAATCACTGATGGGAGAGAGAGAGAGAGAGGGAGATAGATAGATAGAGAGTGAGAGAGAGATTCTGACGATAGAGAGGAAGAGAAAGATGATAATGACGGTACTCTCGCGAAGGTCAGATTAATTTGATAATAAGAGAGTCTCGTTCCTATTGGATCCAACCAAAGGATGGGAGGTAGAATATCGTACGGTTGGCTGCTCGGACGATTAAATCCAACGGCGATGGGCAGGCAAGAGAGCTCGCATAGTTACGTTTAATAGAATTGTATTAAGTCGTGGCATTCGTCCTTTTCCTTCTCTCAAGATATAGACTCTCTCTCTCTCTCTCTCTCTTTCCTATTCACCTCCCATCTCCTCCTTTCCCATCTCCATCCACTTGATATCTCTCTTTCTCTCTCTCTCTCTCTCTTTCTCTCTCTCGCTACGCTTCCAACTTTGAAACTTGGCGTATTCCCATAGGAGCCAGCACGCTAAATTAGCCATTTCGAATCTCGACGACAGTCTCTGAGAAGGAGTCTCGAAATACTCTCTCCGAGAGTCGATTACTACTGTGTCCTTAGAATGAAATTTTCGAACAGCCGATATAATCATAATTCAGGTCGAAATAATTTGTCAGTACTAATTGATGTATCTTTGCTTTGGAATCGATCATAATTAAATTTAACTTAATCGATCATATATATATATAAATTTAATTATATTTTTCTAATAGATTTAAAAAAAAAAAAAATTATTCAAGAGAACTTACAGAATAATATTACGATACAGTTGATTTCTTGCGAATTCAAAATCACTTTTCAGTTGGTAATGCGATAAAACGTTTTTCGGCCTTTCCAAATCGAGCGGGCTAATTCAGTTTGAACGAGAGTTAGTTAGGGGAAGAAAAGTAGAAAGAGAGAGAGAGAGAGAGAGAGAGAGAGAGAGAGACAGAGAATTCACCCCATTTCTCTCCTTTTTTTTCTGCTCGTCTACCTCGTCGAATTACATTGGCTCCGACGCAATGAGCCACGCAGGATATTACGCACGGTCCTTTTCTTTGCGGCTGATAAGTTCCTTCCTAACGTCAGCGATAATTGCCCGATATACCGAGGATAACTTCGTTTGGATAGGTCGTTATTGTAATTTCATATTAGGATATCTGGTTCTTTTTTCTTTTCTCTGACTTTAAATAGACCGAATGAAATGCGAGAAGATAAAAAAAAAAAGAAAGACAGAAAAAAATATTACTCTTATGTATATATGCACATACGTACGTATGTATTATATTATATTATATTATATTATATTATATTATATTATATTATATTATATTATATTATGTACAACATGTATACGTATGTACATATAAAGCCAATAAAATTTAATAAACCATAATGACATATATAGAATCATTATTACTTAACTTAATGATAATAATAATAACAAACTAATCATCAATCTTTTTCCAAGATATCTTCAGTTTATTATTCGTTAAATTATATCTACCTTTAGAATGATAATAAAGTTTACACGTTAACGAGGTACCTCGAGAGACGAAAATTTGGAGCACATGGCATCCATCGAACGAGTCGCGATACGAGGACGCAAAAAGGGTGCGAGTCTTCTCGGTAAGGAGGATAAGAGGAGGAGACGAACAAGGACGAGAAGGTGGAGAGGAGGAAGAAGAGGAGGTAGGAGGTGGAGAACAGAACGATGAGCCTCGGAGAGAAGAGAATCATGTTGGTAGATTAGGTAGGGCCTGCGTCTCAGCAGTCTGGCAGCAATTTGAGAGCGTTTGCGAGGTCCATTAACGGCGGTAACTCTTCACGACCGGCCGCCACGAAGATTCAATTTGAATGCTAACCAGAATAGGAAGTTCGCGCCGAGGCACACGGACTATTATATACTTACATATACATACATACATACATACATACATATATATAAGTCCCATGAACCCCGCCACTCTGTTATTGCCAATTTCGGCGCGTTTCTGTAGCCCACTTTGCGATCGTTTAGATTATCATCTTTCTCGCTCGCTCAGTTGCTTGGTTGTTCGGTTGCTTGCTTCCTTACTTGCTTGCTTGCTTGCTTTCTCTCTTTCATGAGTTATTCCTCTCTTGATCTCTTTCACTCGCACACTTCTCGTTTCCAAGGATAATTGAACTTTATTAGATATCGTCCCTGGAATATCAACCCTTGTATCAACCCCGAGGCCCATTCGAATTGACTTGATTCAGAAACGTTTAACTATCGTCTTATACTTTTTTTCTCCCTTCATCGTTTATCAGTGTTGGCTTATAGAGTCGTCTTGTCTTTTTCATCTTATTATCTCTCTCTCTTTTCTTTTTTAATAAATGAAAATCTTTAAAAAGTTTCCCACGAAGTCTTTTCATACGTCTAATTCAAGTGGTTTTCACCAACTTTCGTTCCTCCTTCACGAATCCCAACGGACAACGCAGTGAGAAGTTCGTCACGATGAAAGAAGAGGAAATCAATTATGCTAGCGTGACATTGAGGGAGAGAGAGAGAGAGAGAGAGAGAGAGAGAGAGAGGGAGAAAGGTAAAATGGTGTTATTGAAATTTGGCCACGGGAACATTAAAATTGTACGAATTAATATTAGCGGCTTTGCTAAGCCAAGAGAAAAAAGCCTTAGAGACCAAAAGAAAAATGTTCACGATCGTAGAAAGTAACGATACGAAAGCTACGCGTTTTATCATTCTAACGTCAATTAGAAGGAACCCTAATCGTGTCTCGGATCATAAATTCAAAATTATATTCCACCGAGTTTGTGCGAATGGGATTTTATGATACGAACGAACGTTCTACCCCTCTTTACTTACAACGAATACATTAGGAATTTAGTTTAATTCAATATCAAATTTCTCCTCAGCTAATCATTTCTCATTAGCACGAAAACAACATTAAGTTATAATTTTAAATAATTTATAACAAACTTTTTTGCATTTCTTTTATGTATATATATATATATATATATATATATATATATACATATGTCCAACAACACGTCGAAATCATTTATTATTATCGTTCGTAAGATAAATTCAATCCAATTCTCCGATTTCAAAATCCCCTAGATTTACCAATTAGTGTTTCCTATCGGCGATCCTCGAATTTGGACATTATCGGTGTTTAGAATCGATCGGCGATAATAATTTTCACGCTAACCCGAGCCGCCGCGTCGGCCGCGTTGTAACAATAACGGTGCAACGGAACGTGCATGGTACTGTTACCGAAGCGATTCATGGTTATTGATTAGTATATGGGTGCCAGCAAGAAGACGGTGTTCTGGTTTGCGGGGGTAAGGGGTGGCGGAGGGAGGGAGGGGGAGGGTTGAAGGCTGGCTTGGGACTCGAGGGGGGAAAAGGGGAGGATCGACGTTGGCGGCGGGGATAGGTAATGGGGGGATATGGGGAGATGGAAGGTTGAGGGCAGCCTAGGGTAGGGTAGGGTAAGGTAGGGCTGACGAGGGGAGGGAAAGGGGTGGCTTGTATAGCGTTCACATCCCCGGAGGGCTTGTACGACGTCGTGTACACGTATATGGCTTATACCCAAGTGCGCTAAGATATTCGCATGGCCCCGAGGCCACCCTCAGAAACAACAATGTCAACTTACCCGCCGTGCCCTGCAATCGTTTGAATAGTATAATGTAGTTTTCGTGTTACGCTGTCGATTCCTCTCACTCTCAAAGCCGAAACCTCCATCCCCACTAACCACTAAAATTTATGAAACACTTACATAGAAGATTTCTTTACTTGTGAGTTTCTTATATTCGTTCATATATATATTTCTTTTTCTTACGATATAAATCTTTAATATACGACATAAAAATTAGATTAAAATTTATTATATTCAAGAATATATATATATATATGTATACGAAATTGCTTAATGTTTCTTCGCAATTCAATTTTAACGGATCAAGAACGGCAATAAAGCGTCGTGCATGGAATTAACCCGTAGGATTATTTCGAGAATTTACAACTTAGGGTACTCTCTCTCTCTCTCTCTTTCTCGTATGAGAGTGTATGCGCGCGCGCACGATACCAGTTAGGTGAATCTTATTTGCATAGCTTCCGACAGATTCCTTCGTGGAAATTAGAATTTCGAAGATGCGCCGCCGGCTGCGGAATAGCGTTTTCTTCGAATCACGCAGCCCGCTAATTAATTTTCTAAGAGATATTAGATAGACGAATAAGGTTTAAGTGGTAGTAGTACGTTTAGTTGTACGTAGACGTTACGTTGGCGTTGTATAGTTCGGTGGCATTGGACTTTCATAAATTTCCCGATCCTAATCCCGATTAATCTCCATGTTGCACTATTTGCCTAAGGCTCGATTTGAGAAGAGACAGAATAAGAGAACTGAAGCCTATAATATTCGCCGGTGGAGTTTGGGGGGTGAGAGAGAAGGAAGAAAAGGAGGAAGAAGAGGAGGAGGAGGGAGCAAGCGAGGACCGAGAGAATATTATTGTTTCTACCCTTGAATATTATAGTCGAATAACGATTAAGTGTACATTGGAAAGTTCGACCATGTCCTAAGGGCATGGACCTTACCTCTAATACTCGTGGAACTTGAATTGTCTACAAAGATCATCCTATTTATCATTATTGATTTTTATAAATATATCCTTTGAATTGACAAATCGCAATAATTTAATTAATTAATCTTTAAATAACATTGCAAAATTATTTTCATTAAATTTCTCTCGATTACGTATCTTTTGATCGTTTAGACACCTTTCTCTTTCTCTCTCTCTCTCTCTCTTATTTCATCAAAATAGATTTGACTTTGACTCGGTGC